GTTCTAGTACACTGTGCTCAGCCTAGAGCTGCAGGAGCTTCCACCTTTCCAGTGCTGTGAGGCTGCTCACTCACCGCACCCCCACCCGGGGGACACCGCTGCGCCCGGGACTCTGGGACAGACAGTGCTGGACTCACCTTTGTCCTTCTTCTCCAGGTTCTCCTCTGCAGCTGTTTTGTCGGCACGGAAGAAAATCCTGGCACTGCTCAGAGAGAAGTACAGCAACTCGAACTCCTGCAATAACAGTGCTTGCATTCATATACAGTAGAGTCTCGATTATCCGACGTTTTGTTTTATCCGACAAAGCCAGTCAACATGCTATATACTGTACTGTGCGCATGCTTCATACTGTAGGGCCCTCGCCGGACCCTCGCCGGCCCGCCGTGTGTGCGCATAGCTAAGAAGAGGGTGCAGCTGCTAGAGAGCCACAGTATTTTGCCCAATCCCACGCTGCTCTGTCTCTCAGTGCGTCCCATACTGCCCCTGACGCACTGTAGCTGCGCGGGCTCGTTCGCGCCCGTGGTTTATTTTCGCCCTGCACATACAGTGATTGCGTTTTGTCTTTCCTGTTGTATTTTCCCTTAATGTAGTTGTATTCTAGAAGCACGCCCAGCGAGAGGGGAAGAAAGGAGCTCTCTCAATCGGGATCAGTCGCAGCGAAGGGGGTCCAGGCTCTCGGAGCGGCACGAGCCGAGGAGACTGCTACCGATGTCGTCACAAAGACGCTGGCGAGACCAGGAAGGACCGCAAGAAAGAGTGGCACATCTGGGAAACAGATTCCAAACTCTCGGTTTTTTAACAATAACTAACAATAGTTCTGTACTCTGTTATTTTAGTGTGACAGTAGATTAATAGACCAGATTTCATACTTCTACTGCACTTCCATTAATCTATGATTTGTCTACTCAGTTGCCACATGATCCGACATTTTGGATTATCCGACATACTATCGGTCCCCGTTTGGTTCGGATAATCGGGACTCTACTGTTCAGTACATTCACATATTCTCTGCACCCTCCAATGGCCAGTAGGAGGGGGGCTGGTTCCCCCCCCCAACCGAGGGACCGCCGCAGGACCGCTCCTCCCACAGCCCAGCGTCCCCTGTGACTGTCACGATACTGCGGCACTGGACTGGGAATTCTGTTTGATCCCCGAGATCAGAGCTGCTGGCCTGTGACCGGTCCCGTTACCTGCAGGTACACGTCCAGCCGCTTCTGCGTCAGGTTCATGGTCTGCATCAGCTTCTCGTCTTGGCTGGTGGCCTGGACGTGCTGCTCCTTGACGACAGCGTTCATCTCCTTCAGGTACTTCTCGCGCACCGCCTGGAACCAGTGCAGCGAGTCGAACTCCTGGTACTGATCCAGCAGCTTCAGGATGTAGGCCACACCTGCACAGCACACACACAGGGGAGCTCCGTCAGTACGGGGGGGTCTGAAAGCTCAGACTATTCCACAGCTGCGTGGTTCCAAAATCGACAGGACGGCAGTGGAGAACCAGCGGGCGCAGACAGAACCATCACGGCCCTCCAGCAACATGACGAGATCCGCAACACCAGGAACAGTGTAACTCCGTAGCTCTCCGCCTTAGGAGTCCTTTTCTGGAAACTCCACTTGCTGGGAGCTGGGTTCGACACACCGAATTCAGAGCACAGCCTCCCCGCAGTGGAGCAGCCCCTGTGCCGGGCCAGCTGCCCCTCCCTCACCCATGGCGAAGCCGTCGTCTGTGAAGGCCGCCCCCACTTTGTTCTTCTTGTTCAGCTTCTCCTTGCAGCTGATGGAATGTTCTGCAAAGTTCACCGCCTGCAAGAGAGGGGAGGCGGCAGCAGTTCATGTCATCTCCCACGACTCGCCCTGCTTCTCCAGCCAACGGCCGCGCAGGAAAGACACCGACGCGCTACAGCCTTCTCAGACGAGCACGCCGATCCTCCGAGCCCCGTCTTCAGAAATTACTAAATAACATTTCACCTGAACTAACTGTTTCTTTTTCATATAATGGTTCTCACATCTGCAGTGACTAAAATCTTAACTGGCTTCAGCCCTGTGCTTGAACAGGGCGGGTTCAATGAGCGCTGAGCAGCCCTGCCCGTACCAGCGGAGGCACGATCATGTAGAAGTTGCGCAGGTGCATGTTCTTCGTGCTGCGGAACTCCGGCGCGAAGACGTCCACCAGCATCTTGAAGTACTCCGTCCCCTCGGCCGAATTGCTGGTCAGGTCTCCGAGCACCGAGTCCAGCTGCCTAGAAGACAGACGCACGCGGGTCAGAGCCGTGTCGCGGGCAGGGAGGCACGGCACCGGCAGCGCGGTCTCCTCGTTACCTGGCGGACTTCTGGGTCTCCCCCGACAGCCCCTCTTCCTTCACCAGCTCCTCAAAGTTCACAATGTCTTCCAGGTCCGGGACAAACCTGCCGAGCACACGAGGACACGAGGCTTCCTCAGTCACTAAATATCACCCCCCCGAGTCCGAACGAGTCCAGGACACCAGCAGGCAAAGAGGGATTCTCTCTCCCAGAATAGCCCATTCCTCACAAACACCACTGACCACCTTTC